TAACCATTTAATTCTCCTATGCTGGAAAACATTTCAAGAGGTCTTCCAGAGTTATTTATGCTGTGCTCTTTTCTATACTCGCCCAGTCTCCTTCTGCCACCACTTACTCCCTGACCACACCTGGCTTGCCCCCTGGATGGGAAGAGAGGAAAGACGCCAAAGGAAGAACATATTACGTCAACCATAACAACCGCACCACAACCTGGACTAGGCCCATTGTGCAGGTACAGCAGGTCTGAAGGCTGCCGGACTCATGCATGGGACCACAGGACCCTCCCTTGGCTCTAAGCACCATCTGCATATGTGTGCTGGACCTCTTCCTCTCCCTCCTTTGTCTTTGTTCTCTCTGTAGCTGAAACAAATAATGGACATTAGCCAACTGTCTAATCCCAATGTTGCTTATTTTTCTGTCCGTCCCCATGCCTTTCTATTGTGTCATTATCTTTTTCCTCTGGTCTTGTCTTGTTGGTTAAGGTTATGTCGTTTTAAACCTTGGCATGAGATTCCAGTCCTTACACCTTACTTTACAATTCTGATTTTTAAACTGCTTCACTAGTCACAACGGAAGTATAAAACTGTTTTTCATGCTTGTTATTGTTATTTTTTATGTGTATTCGGTGTCGTCTTGCACATAATTTCTTCTTCTTCAATTGTAATTGTAGTTAATTTGCATAGAAAAAATTATTCAAGGATTTCCCAAATTACTCTTCTTTTTGGAAGCAGCAATAACAAATTTCTTTGACATTTTAGGAATACCCTTTTGACAACAGAGCTCACACATATGTCTTCTAGAGCAAGTTTGCATGTTATACAACATGTTTTTTTTCACAGACCGATTTGCTTTTTTAAAATTTCTACTTCTTCACCTAAAAAAAAAATGTGTTTTTCAATGACAGCTCACTGAAGATGGAGCAAGTACATCTGCCACAGCCTCTGGAGGAGCATCAGCGTCAGCCTTGGCCCCTGCCTCCACCCCCTCCTCCTCCAATGCTTCCAGCAACCACCTCCACGAGCCCCAAGTCCGACGACCTCGTAGCCTCAGCTCCCCCACTGTCACCCTCTCCACTCCCTTAGAGGTGAGAATGACCCACCTGTACCAAGCTCTCCTCTCACCATTTCCTCTGCCCAACACCTGCTAATTACCTTGCCTCTTTTTTACTCTCATACTCGTCATCAAAATGAAATTATTTCTTTTATAGCTCTCCACCAATCCCAAGTGTGGCAATTTTCAGCTTTTTAAAAAGTCCAAATAATGCCTTTTTTTTTCTTCATTTATTATTTTCATGACTTGTTGTTTGACCTTTCCTTGGTTCCTTTCATCTACGACCATCTACTTTTGTTTCTATTCAATTTTTTATAGACATATGCATCAACTTTTAGTATTATTGCTTTTCTAGTAGTGTATTTATATATACTAGTTTTGCCTTTCTGCCTTTTTTACATCTGACTTAAGTTATTCTGCTTGTGTTATGGATGTTTTAACAACCAAATGGTTTTAGAAAAATAACTGTGCCTTGTAGTTATTATAATGCTCAGAGCTGGGATGTCTGAATTCTTTTATAGGAGTCTTTTCTTTAGCAGTACATCATACCAGTCTGTGATAATTGGGAGATAAAAACATATGAAGATGTGCTTAAATAAAGGCAAAAGCAACAGAAATTAATGAAACAAAGGAAAAACCCCACATGCACACGGCTGCACTGATGGTAAACCCCGAATGGCTGAACTGCTCCCAATTTATAGTTCCCAGACAGGAAGTACCTCCCCCTTTGTTAGTACCAACACACACAGGTTAGCTTGTCTATCAACATGCCCTGTTTCTACTGTGTGCGGTTTACTTTCTTATGAGGGCCTAATTCCCCTTTAACTAAAAGTGCTCAACATAAACTAGAAACACTGAAATAAAATCCATAAAACAAAAGAACTAAAACCGAGTCTTCCCTCCACATGGTCTGGCCCAAAACCTCCCCCAAAGCCTACAAATATGGGTGACGAAGGTCACGCCAGGTCATGTGGAGTAACAGGTCAGGTGGTAAGTGGTCTGTATAACAAAATGAATAGATATAACCAAATAAATTATATTTAAAATAAGTGGTGTGAAGTGATTAACTAAACTAAACGAAGACTAAATAAAACAAACCTGGGATAGTGATATTTAGCTGTTTAGCAGATTATGGAAACATGTAAAATGAAATTAAATGTGAATAAATGGGGACAAAGGCCCTCTTTGTTACAAGGCTATGTAGCAGAGTTATGCCTTTTACACATGAAGTTGTTCAGTCATAGTCACATTTGTCTATTGTTTATTAATCATGTTGCTTTTTAGGGAGCCAACAATATTCCTCTGCGAAGGGCAGTCAAAGACACCTTCTCCAACCCGCAGTCTCCTCAGCCGTCACCCTATAGTTCACCCAAGTCGCAACATAAGACACAACAGAGCTTCCTGCCCCCCGGCTGGGAAATGAGAATAGCCCCTAATGGACGACCTTTCTTCATCGAC